ACTCACGGACCGCGAGATCGTGACCTGGCTGAAGTCGGACGCTTAACCGACTGCGCCACCCAGGCGCCCCTGGAATTTATCTTAATTCAACTTTTTTAGCATGATAAATGCCTGGGTTTTCTGTTAACTCAATGGTTAACTTTAGTGAAGCTCAGAATCACCTGCTGGGCTTATGAGAGCACAGACTGCTGGGCCCAAACCCAAACTTTTACTGGAATAGAGCCTAAGAATTTGCATTTCTAACAAGTTTCTTGGTAATGCTAATACTTCTGTTCCAGGAACCATACTTTGAGAACCCATACCAGTTTCACTCATTTAGAAGACATAAATACAAGCACACACACACACACACACACACACACACACAAAGATGCATTACCTGAGTTAGTCTTCAAACAGGAAGGAAAGGGGTGGGTACAATGGTCCAGATAATACTTCTATTTTGGCACTGCTTTAATTTCTTCCTTATTACAGACTCACAGAAGAGAGGGCCAAAAAAAAGTATAGGTTTATTTTGGCTAATAATCCAGGATTTTCTACTCAATTTCTTTATAACCCAACGCCTAATATGGGTAATCTCAACTTCAACAAAACATAAGCAGAACACATAAAAACATGACCCCAAACTGAAATTAGAAAATAACACAGCACGCACATCTGTCCGTCATCATCCACCAGACATGCCCACAAATATTAAGTTTCCATGCAAGGTTCAGCATACAAATCCCTACTTATCACCAGATAAAATTTACAAATTAATAACGATCTTGAGATATTTTGAACCACAAGGTACACAGTTCCAGATTTTTGATTTCTGTGGTGTTCTATTTTGATTTATGTCTATCCCAAAAAATAACCATGATTTTAATTTTGTTTCTTAATGGGGAAGGTGAGATTATATTAGCTAAGTTGAGTGGTGCTTTAGAAATTTAAGGAAATGATGTGGATTTCAAGAGAATTCACTATGTTTAGTCTTACCCAGGCTCCACTAACCTCCCATTCTGTGCCATACTGCAGGAGTGCTAAGAAAAACAAATTAGGAGCTTTCTGTGTCACATTCCTCTCCAGAATAGGTTTTAAGTACATTTGTCAGAAAATATCCTGGCTATTAACAGGTATCCATTCAATGTTTACCATGTGTCAGGTATTCATTCGTTGTTTATTTAATCCTTTTAGTCAATTAAACCCAAATAGTAGGTATAGGCTCATTTTACCAGTGAAGAAACTAAGGCTGAGGGCGAATAAATTGTCCAAAATGAAACTAGTAAATCGTGTATCTAAGAATCAAATCTGAATTTCTACAATCATTATCAACTGCCTCTCAACACCTAGTGATCCATATTGCTTAACAATAATAGCTACCATTTATTGAGTTCTTATGAAATAAAGAGCTAAATAGCTGACATTATTTCACTCAATTCTCTCAAAATTCTCTGTGACAGTCTTTATTTTACCAGGAGGGTACTCACATCATGAGAAGTTTCAAAGAACTTGCCAAAAGGTTACAAGTATATAGTGGGAGAGCTGGGATTTGAACCCTCACCTGACTCTGAAGCTCCACTAGCCTCCCGTGTAGTTATTCCTACAGTTCTATCTTGTGTACATACTTCAGCTGTGGTTCAGACTATTATATCACATATTTTAATACTAATTTTATGATTATTAGTTTTAGCATGCTACATTCGTTCATATTAAGCTTTAAATACCCATCTTCGGGGTGCCTGGGTGGCTCGGTCAGTTGAGGGACCGACTTTGGCTCAGGTCATGATCTCATGGTTTGTGAGTTCAAGCCCCGCATCAGTCTCTGAGCTGAAGGCTCAGAGCCTGGAGCCTGCTTCTGATTCTGTGTCTCCCTCTCTCTCTGCCCCTCCCCCACTCGTGCTCTGTCTCAGAAATAAACATTAAAAAAAATTAAAAAAAAAATACCTATCTTCCACAAAATTTGTAATGAAATTTCGCCTCTAAATTAGGATGCCCTCACTTTACTTTTGGCTGATTCTTCGAAACGAAGTGTACACTTAATATTCTAAATCTTTTATCATGGTGAAATATATATAATATTTACTATTTTTAACAATTTTCGGACGCGTAACTCAGTGGCATTAAGTACATTCACAATGTTACACAAGCATTACCACTATCCATTTAAGAATCTTCTGCTAAACTGAAACCTTAAATGTAAAATTCCAACTTCAGACGATGCTATATTCAAAGTTCCAAGTTGTATTAACTAAATGCTGAGTGTTACATCACCAAAAGTTAAAAAAAAAAAAAACATTTTTTGTGTCTTTTGCTATCACTTAAGAAACCATTGTGTTTATATTACTGATGAAATTGTTGTATTAAATAGAACCCCCGGAAAACACTCTACCTAAGACCTCCCTCCAGGTCAATATGAATAATTAATCAAACACCGTTTAAGTGTCAAATGGCTTGTACAAACAAAAACATTCTATATCTTTCCCTCTGCTCAGAAACCATCAAGCTTCTACATGCTAGTCATTTTCTCTACATACATTTATTTTTACCAGTAGCTTCACTTTTCAACTTCCAAGGCTTCATTCATTTTTCCATGACTCTTTTTTTTAACGTTTATTTATTTTTGGGACACAGAGAGACAGAGCATGAACGGGGGAGGGGCAGAGAGAGAGGGAGACACAGAATCGGAAACAGGCTCCAGGCTCCGAGCCATCAGCCCAGAGCCTGACGCGGGGCTCAAACTCACGGACCGCGAGATCGTGACCTGACTGAAGTCGGACGCTTAACCGACTGCGCCACCCAGGCGCCCCCATCTTTCCATGACTCTTAGTAAACCTATGGTGGCTACATAAACTACACGCTTTTTTTTTTTCCCCCTAAATGCTTATAATCCATTTAGGAATTACCCTAAACTTTTTTATATTTAACTTTCTTTGATAGTAATTTGCATTTAGAATCATCCAGTCCTTAAGGTTTGGTATTAAACCAAGTAACCTTAAATATAAGAAAATATTTTAGAAATACACTTGAGAAAAGTTGTACCTTAATAAAAAACTGGGTATAAGAGCATTGTCTAAACTCTTTGGGTGTATTGTGGGAAGATTCCTACCATCCCATCATCCTATGGTATTAATAGCTAGAAAAGGTGCTGGGGAACTTCAACTTAGCAAAATGGAAAACATTACAACCAGTTTTGGAGTTGAAAATGTATTTCATAAATAAAAGCTAGTATAGTATTGTCGCTATTTTGTTGTTCAGTTGTGCACTAAATATGAAATGCTTAGATAACATGAATTTGCTTATCAAATTCTTAGGCTACAAAATAAGGGTCAGCACGCTTAAACTTTCAAGTGATCGTTAAAACAGTACAATTTTATACAGCAAGTATATACAAAGTACCGGAAGGCTAAAAATCTAAATCCATTCCCTGTTTTTGCTTTGTTTTGTTTTTTTTCAGCAAGCTTTATTAATCCATCACGGATCTAGTGATGTTTAGAGTGTATCATGATTTAATTCAGAGAAAGGAAAAAAAAAAGTTCTCCCAGACAACAGTCTTTGGTGCCTCTGCCACACTTCAGGGAAATAAAACTACTTTAGGACTCTGTAACTCAGCTGTCAGGGTTGTTTTTACACACCTCATTAAAAGCTTCAGCAAAAGGAAATACATTAAAACTCAAACACTGTTCTCCTAGTGCCTCCAGTACTTTATTCGTAGTTATTATCCACGTTTTTATAAATATAAACATTCTAAGTGAATGTCACTAGTGCAGGTACATTTAACAACGAGAGCTCCACAGGAAGCTACTTTATTTCGTGTGTAACAAGGATCGAGGTTCCGAAAACCTAACTGTACCACTAAAAACAAAACCAACCCCCAAAACAGAAAACCGAATCCAAATAAAAGCCTGTTAGCAAAGTGCAGTCCTTTTGGTTATCTTCAGAACAAACAGCTGTTGGCTTTACACGTAGAAATTATGTAGATTTGCTAATATACGATCACTGGAAATAAGTCCTTGCTTGTAGGTAAGAATCAGGTAGAGGGTTTTCCTCCTTTTAATTTAGAGGGTTTTTTGGATTCCAGTGTAAACAGCACCAGCGAATTTTCATAAAACATAGCTTTGCTACTTTCTCCTTCATTTTCTAATTTTTATCAGCAGTACTGTTTCATTTCTTCCTACCTTATAGTCAGGACTTGACTGCCCACATAACGCTGCTTGGATTGTAAACAAAAAAATTAAAGCTCAGAGCATTTATAGGATACCTCTTACATTTTCACTCCACAGTGCATCAGGTGTTGTTGATAAAGCTTTTGCTCCTCTCAAAAGTCTACAAAAATATATGAAACATCTTTCAGCCAGCGTCAAGAAAACAAATATTTTACAACTGGAATACTTTAGAGACCATGTACTGTAATTACATCCTCTTGACTGAATTCGTCAATTGCTTTCTTCATAAATCCATACATATACCAAGCGTGTGCATTTATGATTAGTCTACATGCCCTAATTGACGATATAAAAAAATTAAGTAACTTATTTTAGGTTCAAGTGAAAGTGCTCCTGACAATAAACTATTTCTACAACAGCCCTAAATCCCCCAAAGGGTGTTTTAAACCTGACCATGGAGAAAGATGCATAGCTACTTCTAAAAAGTAAACAACTACACACCAAAACATGCATTGTCAGGAAAACTAATTCATGCACTTGAATATGCCAATACCTTATTTTTATTATTTTAAGTTAGACCAATTTAAAACATTGCCCAGAATTAAGATAGAGCATTACATCATTTGATTCCAGAAAATGTCAAAATGCATTTGGCCAAAACTTAAAAAAACAAACACTTCCTCCTTATCCCTTACTGGTTGGACCAATGTGATCAATACAACTGTATATATATTAATCTACCTTAACATTTCCATTCATTAGCATTTCATCTTAACATACAGAGCCTTCTATTGTAATTTCCTCGTAAAGGCTTCCCCCCAAAAGATGCAAATACAAAACACTAGGCAGATACTCTTCAAAGTTTTATTTCACTAACTTCAGGTCAAATTTCCACAAGTGTTTTCTGGTCAATTTGCTATCCATGCTTGGCTTCCCAGAATGGTAGTACCAAAAGATTTGTGGGGTAGGGAGAAGAGACCATTTTAAGAAGCACTGCATTTACGCATCTTCCACAAGGCAAAAGAGTTGGGCATCTGATTGTTCAACAAAACAAAGCTTTATCAGCATCCAGGAGGGCAGGCAGGCAAACCAGGCTGTAGACACTCTTCCATTTGTCAAAATCAGACTGGAGAAAACCTACTCCACACAGATCGAAAAGGTATTACCATTCATCTCTTCTTTTTCTGTTGCCGCAACATTTTTCTTCTTTTAATTATCATATCATGTAGTTTCTCAAGTCCTTCCTTCAGTCCATCTCCTATGATTGCACAGGTGGGCTGCAAATGCCAGGGAGTGGAAGAGCTCAGTTCACCCATTGCTAACAATTTCTCAATTTCTGAGAGAGACAATGAGTTCCTCAGGTCTTGCTTGTTAGCAACTATAAGTACAGGGACTCCCTGATTTTCTGATATCCTGGTTATTTTATGAAGTTCAGTTTTGGCTTCTTCCATTCTTTCAACATCAACAGAGTCCACAACAAACACAATGCCATCTGTGCATCTGGTATATGACTTCCACAGTGGCCTTAATTTCTCCTGGCCACCTACATCCCAGAAGTGAAAAGTGACTGTTTTAGAATTTCCCAAGGTTACCTTAATTTTTTCAGTGTTAAATCCTTTGGTAGGTACAGTATTTACAAACTCATTGAACTGCAGCCTGTATAATACAGTTGTCTTTCCAGCACAGTCCAAACCCAAAATAACAATGTGAAAGGACTGAAATGAAGGCAGGCTGGACAGGATAGAAGTCTGGTCTGACAGTCCATTCCCCATTTCCAGGTGCAAATTAGTGTTCCAAATTGAAATGCTTTCTTCTTACTGCTTCAGAATTTCTCTTCCTAGGGGATCCAGCTACAAGACTGCTGAGGGGAAAAATGAATAAGTTATTCTTTGAAATACCGTACTACAACTGTTTTTCTCTCTCCCTTCTTCTTATATTAAGACGAGGAACTTGAAAATAAAACTTGTTCGAGTAAATAAGCCAAATAAACGCACGCAAACCAAGGCAAAAGACAGAATAATCCTTGTGATTCAAATTCTTTCACAGTCATGAAAATTGCAGTAACACGTACTTCTCTACGTCCCTGGGTTCCAAATCTCAAAGACCTCATTCTGAAGATAACCTAATCACCAGTATCTGGTTCGACTTACAATAACCACAGAAGTGCCTTTTTTGGCAGAAAACGCGTAACACGTAATCCTATTTTAGGGATCTAATTCCACGTGCTTAACAGCATACCCAGGGTCACTATTATCCCCCCTTCACGAACCCCCCCCCCCGCCCCCCCGGCAAACAGCACAGTGCTCTCACCTCCGGAACTGGAGTCTGGATCCAAATAGGAAAGCATTTGTTAGACGTTTTACACGCACGGGGTTGGAGAGAAAAGCACCCCACGACCGCTCAGCTTCGCTCTCCACGCAGCTCTGGCAGTTGCTGCACTAGAAACCGTAGCTTCGGACTCTGACCACGCCCACCCCTCACTGCCCACCCACGAGCCCAAATCCCATTGGTCACCCGCGTCAGCGCGTCCAATACACACACGCCCCAGTGCCCTAATTGGTGAGAATTAACTGCCGCTCCAAGTGCGGCCGAGCTGGGCTCTCCCTCGGTCCACAGGCACCACCTGTTGCCCTTAAGTTAGAAAACAAGGCGCCCACGGAGGAAGCCGAGTGGCCCCTGCAGGTGACAAGGAGCCTCGACCGGCCGGTCAGGTCGCTGCCAGACACCTCGTTCCGCCCGCTCTGGCGCACCTGCAGCGCGGCCGGCGAACGCCGGCCGGGGCTCCCACATCCGGGACCCACGATCACCGCCGGCGCGTTAACCCTTCGTCCGCTGGCGAAAGGTGCTCGCCGAGGCCGTGCCAACCCCCAGGCGTGAATGATTCTACGTGCGGCTCCCGCACGGGCAGGGTCACTGTCCCGCCAGCACGATCCCTATACCTCGCCCCTCCGCACCCGGCAGCCTCCTCTCCCTCCGCAGGGCGTGGCCACACCAGCTGCCCGCCCCGCTGCGGCTCACCTGACTCACCGTCTTTCCTGGTCTGGACCCAGCGTCGCTCACAGCAGCTCGGGAGCGCGCTGCTACCTGTCGGAAGGCACCAGGGAGGCCCCGTTGGTGGCCGAGGGTGATACGCGGCTTCTAGGGGCGCCCGGCTGGCGCCGTGCGCCAGGCCTCCTAACGGTGCCCGGCCGATCCCTCAGCTCAGCAGCCGCGGCCCCGCCCCCCTTCAGCGCGCACCCGGGAGCTGGCCATTGGGGGGCGTGCGGGAGCCCGGTCTCCTAGCAACGGCAAAACAAGGTCACGTTCGAACTGGCCTAACCCGGACCCGCCACAGGCGAGGTCGGGCGGAGCTTCCGGCTTCAGCTTCCTGAGCAGTTGCTGTCTCCGACGCTTTCTCTAGCCGGCGGGTGGCTTGAGATAGTTCGCGGCGGGTCCCACCCTGCACCGCCTATCCTCCGGGCGCCGTACGGTGTCCTCTGGGCGGTGGCCGGTGACGTACCGTCAGAGATTTCAGAAGATCCCGGACGGGCGGGCCCCTTATATAACGGGATGACGTGGGCGTGCCTCAGTAGCTGGCCTGAACGTCTGGGGCAGAATGGTGTCTGAAACTCATCATCCTTTTGCAAAGCAAATAAATTCCCTCTCTCCCACACGACCCTAGCAACATCCCCGTGAGGTAGAAATATCCCGGTTTCACAAATGAGGAAATAAACTGAAACATTAAATAGGCGTTTCTATTAACCCAAGGAAAATTAGTGGAACTTAAAGTCTACTTACTAGTCATTAAATGCCTAATGCTTCCTGTTGAATAATTCTGACCCTAAATGGCAGTTGTGTGCTTGACTCATAAGTCAAGCCTGACTTAACAGGCAGTAAGGACAATTCTATGTCCTCAGGGATAGAATGGTGAAGAAATCAGACCTTGTCTCTGTCTCCTGGAATGTTGTTCTCATTGGGAGCAAAAGAGTAACCAAATTGCCACATGAAAAAATTTAATTAAAAATGTGATCAGTGATAATTTCAGGATACTTAGACAACATTGAAGGTGTGGTACTGGGAAAGTGTCAATCAACAAACATCTTTTGGGTTGGGACGGTAAGAGATTGGAACTTGGAAGAATATACATGGTGCACATTAAAAACAATTTCACTTTGAAAATACAGATTGAAGTTTCCTCAAGAAATTTATGTTTCTCAACACCATCATTGCTAGTGATATTTATTACCTTTATTACTAGATTTTTTTAAAGTAACAGACATAAGGGGCAGCTGGGTGGCTCAGTCTGTTAAGCTTCCAACTTCAGTTCCAGTTGTGATCTCACAGTTCATGAGTTCTAGCCCCAGGTGGGGCTCTGTGCTGACAGTTCAGAGCCTGAAGCCTACTTTGAATTCTGTGTCTCCTCCTCTCCCTGCCCTGCCCTTCTTACACTCTGCTTCTCTCTCTCTCTCTCTCTCTCTCTCTCTCTCTCTCTCAAAAATAAACATTAGGGGCGCCTGGGTGGCGCAGTCGGTTAAGCGTCCGACTTCAGCCAGGTCACGATCTCGCGGTCCGTGAGTTCGAGCCCCGCGTCGGGCTCTGGGCTGATGGCTCGGAGCCTGGAGCCTGTTTCTGAGTCTGTGTCTCCCTCTCTCTCTGCCCCTCCCCCGTTCATGCTCTGTCTCTCTCTGTCCCAAAAATAAATAAACGTGGAAAAAAAAAATTAAAAAAAAAATAAACATTAAAAAATTATTTTAAAGAATAGACATAAAACCTTAGGTCTAAGTACAGTGTATATTTTCAAGACCACACCACTAATTTTGGAAATAAAGCTAGAAATCTCAAATAGCATATTACATCAAGTTGCTGAATCTAGTGTAAGCTAAAGCTTGCCTTGTTAGTTATCATTAGCCATTTACAGCCATTAGTTAGCATTAGCCATTTACAATAATCAGCAAGTAAGTGATAAAGGGCTTAGTGTAATAACTAGTCTTTTCTTAGAAATTTAACAGATATTCTTTATTAAACTGGAAAAACTTGAAAATTGTCATGAAATCAAGAATTAAGAACAAGAGTCCCTAACAGCCTTGTGTTTACAATAGCTTTACAATTAAGTAGGCCTTTCCCTGTTAGTTGCAAGGGTGCGTATCTGTACACTTTTCCCTGGAGAAACAGAAGGAGATGGGAAAATACTAAGAGTTTCTACCCTGGCAGAATCACCTTCATGGAATTACACTTAATGCTAATAACATAGGCTTATAACTAGAACAGGGTTGGCAAACTACAGCCTGTGTGAATTTGCCTATATCAGGAGATAAGAATGGTTTTTACATGTTTAAAGGGCTGCAACAGAAAAGATAAGAATATACAATAGAGGCCACTTGTGGCCCACAAAACCTAAAATATTTTCTCTCCAGCTCGTTAGAGAAAAAGCATACTCCTCCTCTGTAAGTAATAACAACCATACGAAAACTGCATTAAATGATATAAAAAGCAATGGAATTAATGGAATACACCATTTACTTTGTTGCACAACCTTCCTGTAGAAGGCAAGTTCAGATACTTTATTTAGATGCTATTCCAGGAAAGTGTTCCTTTTAAGCTATAGTACATAGGCTGCGTGTTGAGGTGCTCTGGGGTGCCTCAGGAATTCATGAGGATTCTATGGGAGATTTTAACTTTTTGAGGGAAACACAGTGCCATCTGTTGGACTCTGTTAACAACTGTAACTATTAAGCTGACTGGATCTATCTACTTAAATGGAAATTTGGGATATTTCTTTGGGCCTGAGGCACCATGAAAAAGTTATTTAGACAAGAGGTTCTGTGAACCCCTGCCTTTAGTTATGGTTTTCCAAACTTTACTAATAAGGAGAAGCATCTGGTAGTGGTTATAAAAATATACATTCTTGGTCTCCATCACAGACCTGCCAAATGAGAATCATTAGGGAAGGAGCTAGTGATCTGTATCCAACAAGAATCTCAGGTTAAATGGTGAGACATTTTGAAGAAATACTGATCTTAAGAAATCCGTAAGCTTTCTCCTTTGAAATACAATTGAGTAATTTACCTTTTTTCTCCTTTTTGAATACCAGGACCCAGATCAAATCTGATGCCTGTAGCATTTTTCCTCTTCCATAATGTGATTTTCTATGATGTGCTTAAATTAAGCAAACACACACCGTAGCTAATGTCCTTCATGACTTTGCACACTGTTTTCTAGGATACCTCACTTAGGCTTATAACTAGAACAGGGTTGGGTTTTCTAGGATACCTCACATAGGCTTATAACTAGTACATATTTACTGGAATCTCCCAAGTTTGAAGGTCTGGGTAAACAGAAGGCATGGGCTATGGTGGAAGGAATTGGTTCAGTGGAGGCAATAGACACACAGCACATAATTGCTATGATATACAATAGGACTTCTGAGTGGTAAAATAGAACTTATTATCAAGTCATATACTTGTACAAACTTTATCTGACAGAGTCAAGGTCAGGAAAAAATGTAATTTTAAAGCTGAGTATTAAAAGAACTCAACACCAGACAAAGTGTAGGGGAAAAGAATTGCAGCTAGAAGCAACAGTACACAGAGCACGGAAGCATAACTTCTATGATATACTCAAACACATCCAAAAAGAGGAGATTATAATTTCCCATAGGAAAAAAAAAAAAAGAAAGATGTGCTAGGGGGACTTTAATCCTCCACTCTCAACAATAGATAAATCATCCAGGCAGAAAATCAATGAGGAAACAGCAGTTGAACAACACCATAGACCAAATAGACCTAACAGACATATACAGAACAGTTCATCCAACAGCAGTAGAATACACATTCTTCTCAAACCCATATGGAACATGAGGCAAGACAGATCATATGTTAGATCACAAAACAAGTCTCAATAAATTCAGGAAGATTGAAAATACATCAAGTATCTTTTCTGACCACAATGGGATAAAATCAGAAATCACTAACAGGAGAAATATTGGAAAATTCACAAATACATGGAAATTAAATAGCATACTCTGGAACAAATAACAGATCAAAGAAGAATAAAAAAATCTAAAAAATTATGAGACAAATGAAAATGGAAACAACAGAACAAAACTTCTTAGATGCAGCAAAAGCAATTTTAAGAGGAAAGTTTATAGCTATAAATACCTACTTTAAGATAAAATAAAAATGTCAAGTAACATTTTAACACCTCAAGTTTGGTTCAAAATATGCAAATCAATAAATGCGATACACCACATTAATAGAATTAAGAATGCAAAAAAAAAAAAAAAAAGGGTGGGCACCTGGGTGGCTCAGTCAGTTAAGTGTCTGACTTGGGCTCAGGTCATGATCTCAAGGCTTGTGGGTTTGAGTCCCGCATCAGGCTTTGTGCTGACAGTTCAGAGCCTGGAGCCTGCTTTGGATTCTCTGTCTTCCTCTCTCTCTGTCCCTACCCTGCTCGTGCTCTCTTTCTCTCAAAAATAAAATAAACATTAAAAAAAAAAAAGAATGCAAGTCATATGATCACCTCAAAAGATTCAGAAAAAGCATTTGAAAAATTTAACGTCCTTTTTGATAAAAACTCTCAATAAACTGAGTATGAAGAAATGTATGTCAGCATAATAAAGGTCATATAAGACAAGCCCACAGATATATCATACCCAATGGTGAAAGGTTCAAAGCTTTTCCTCTTAAACCAGCAACAAGACAAAAGTGCCCACTCCCATTCACCATTCCTATTCAACATAGTACTGGAAGTTCTAGACATAGCAATTAAGCAAGAAAAAGAAATAAAAGTCATCTAAATCAGAAAAGAAGAAATAAAATTGTCACGGTTTGCAGATATAATCTTATATATAGAAAACACTAAAGACTCCAGAAAAAAACCTTGCATCTAATAAGCAAATTCAGTAAAGTTGTAGGATACAAAATCAACATAAAAAATCAGCTGTGTTTTTATACACTAACAAACTATATAAACAAAATAAATAATCCCACTTACAATAACACCAGGAAAATAGAATATGTAGGAATAAATTCAACTAAGAAAGCAAAAGATCTGTACACTGGGCACCTGGATGGCTCAGTCAGTTGAGCATCCAACTCTTGATTTACACTCATGTCATGATCCCAGGGTCTCAGGCATGAGCCCGGTGTTCTGCTAGTGGGCTAGTGT